AAATTCATTGTTCCTTCCACAGTTGTCAAAACACCACCCCATTCCACACTCACACCAGCAATTTGGTAGAGAAACACTGGACGATTAAAAAAAAGAGAGAAAATACTAGATTAACACTTATTTGTTCTCATCATGGACGTATGTTTGACTATTGAAGTTTCCGGATTTTCTGAAGATTAAAAAAATCGAAAAACTTTTTTTTAGCATATTCTAAGTAATTTTAGAATCAATCTTCTTTTCAAATTACTTGAAATTCAGACTGAGAACAATAATACCCCGAACATTTTCTTTAATATTCTGTAAAATATACAGATGTAATGGATTATATCAAGGAAGAAGGGACATGATAGTTGCAAAGAACACACTATACTTATCACACGCAGACAAACTGTACAGCTGTCTTTTTCTAACCTTTCTATGCAATACTGGGTCATGGGGAGCCAAAGCCTATCCCAGCAAGCAGTGAGCACCAGGCAAGATACACCTGGTAGGTTATATCCTGCCTTGGTACACACAGACACAAATATACGCTCACACCAGGGCCAATTTTCCCAGAGGACATTTAACCTTCCAGTATAGCTTTTGTCTGTGGAAGGAAATCAGAGCACCTACAGGAAACCTATACAGTACGAACATGGAGAGAACATTCAAACTCCTTGCAGACAGCAGCGCAGGTCCCAGTGCTGTGAGACAGCAGTGAAAATCAGTGCACCACCGTGTTGGCCTACACATGGACATATGGAGCTAAAGGCGTGAAACATTTTAATATGGGAGTTGTCATTTTCTCATACCTTCCTTTTTACATTTTGTCTCTGTGGTGCTGACGTTCGCAATACGTTTGGTTTGCAGGCTTCTCGCAATGGTTTTCATCTTTATAAACTCTATTTCTTTGTTTCAAAGTGATTAGAGCATACTTGAAAAGAATCATTTGGGATCAGCTTGACTCTGCTGGCTCAGTCATCTGCCTCAGTGCACGCCCCCTTCCTGTGTGTGAAATCTTTTGAATCCCCAGCCACATGATAAAACAGCTTATAGAGTCTTGTGGTAAAGTCATTAAGGGTATCTGCAGAGTGTAGCTGTGCCATAAAACTTTCTTTACTGTTTTTGTTAGTTAGCTTTTTTAGTGCTGTAGATCTGACTATTTTGACTATTTGGGTATTATTGTGCATTTCATGGCTTGTCTTTCAAATAACAAGGATTTTGGAAGGATTTAGTAGTGCTATCTGAGTGCGTGTAGTGGGGAGACCTTACCGATAACTTAGACCATTGTGACATTTTTTTAAATATAATTCACACATCTGTGGCACTGAACTGCTTTTGATTACAAAATTGTAGAAGTATCAGCAGTCACACAAACAGGTTTGATGTGATCTATGAATCACCCCTGTGGAAGCACTTCACGCAGAGATATATTTATTCCCAGTCAGCCAAAAAAACATAGGATTTTCATCTGTTGCAGCAGTTAAACTAATTTTAAGCTCTAATGACATTGTCATATTTGGTGTCATTTAATTATTTTATTGTGAATAATTTCTTCTTCTTTAGAAGTATTGTAGCTTTAAGATTTACCGAAGCATACAGTACTTGCAAAATCAGAAAAGAATGTACTGTATATATTGTTCTGCAAATTCTATGCACAAGCAGGCCCTAATTAAACAATTTCATTTCTAAAATGTGCCTGAAGTGTAATGAATGTAAGAAATAAACAAAACATGATGAAATATGAAAAAAAAAATCATTGTTCCTTCTACGGTTTTCAAAACAACACCCCATACGAACAAAATACCCACTCGTACCAATAGCACACCAAGTGTAACAGCAGCGAAAACTGAATTCTGTTTCGTATCAGAAATTCAGAAATTCTGTTTCATATTCTGCTGTATCAAAAACCCAGTTTATTGGAAGCATTTACTGTACACTGATTGTTACTGTTTTGATCATGTATTTTTAATATATTCAATCTGGAATCCTTGAGTAGTTTAACTGTGAGCAAGACGTTTGAATCCAGAAAGGTGTTTGAAAACTACAGCACATGGAAGTATGACTTTTTCGCAAATGACATGAAATTTGAAGACGTTTAATAAAAGCCTTGATGCTGGAGCTTACTTCTGAAACTGAAGCAAAGGCAAAGGGCATCTGTGATGTGTTTTCTTAGAGACACTATTTCTGTTTATTTCTAGATAAAGGAGTGTGAAGTTTGAGGTGCAATAACTGCTTGAAATAGAACTGTGTTTCTAGCATCCTCAAAGTACTGCAGGGACTGGGCAGAACAGTTACAGTTTATTAGAATAACATAATAGCATCTGTGGCATTTTATGGAAGGCTAGTTTTATATTGTATAATTTACCGGGAGAGAACAAAAAGGGTAGAACCTAAAGTATCTCTTTATTGCTAAGAGCAATGTTCATGAAGTGATTATCTGATCCATGGAGAAGACTAACAATAGTATCTAATTTTAGGTATAGTTTTGATTCTAGTTTTTAGGGTTTTAGGGTTTAGTATGAAGAATCGTGTGTTGCTTCTTACTTCTAGCACAGGTATCAATTTTATTTTGTGTTTTTCATTCTTGCATTTTTTAACTCTTGGAAACATTTCCAGTTGAAAACAAAGGTACAAAAATAAGGGTTTACCCTAGCAAAAAAAAATGCAGCTCTCTGGCAGTGCGTACTTTTATCAAGCACTTATTCTCTCCCACTCAGGAGAAAATTGAGACTTGTTACATTGCTGAAAGCCTCGGGAAATAAATTATGAAATACTTGTGAAGCACTCATAAATGAGATGTCAGATCACCACCTCTTCTCTGACATTCTTTTGTGTTTTGTGCTCTAGAATTCTTTTTCTGAGAAGTGTTGGAAACTGAGGAGCTCTATTTAAGCACAGCAGCCACTTCAAAAGTTAAAAGTTTACGTGCAAAGATAATTGGTGTAGTTCACACAAATATGTGTGTGCAAGCTCTGTGTATGTTTATCAGCAGCACATAAGCAAATGAACATTAACATTTCAAATTAAAAAAAGGGTGTTATACTGTTAGAAATATAATCAATTTGTACATCAAAAATCAAACTTCAATATAAGAAAGTCTTACAGTTACTATAGGTAACTTTCCACATGCTAACATTATGAAAACATTTTTCACAGTGTGTTATTTATCTGCAACACAGTTAATGATACCTGGCATTAGCACACACATAACTAATAAAATGCCATCTATAGTGTCTTTTTGTGAAGTGTTGATTTGAGTTTACTCTATGAACAGATGACAAAACTGAAATTGTATATTGAAAAATAAAGAAATACAGTATAATTATACAGAGAAAAATATAAGAATGGATTAGAAGTACTGCATAACCATTTGCTCATAAATTATTCAAATTAATTATTGAATTATTTCCTTAATGACTCAATCTTTTTCCTTGTCTTTTTAAACTTAACATACAGCACTACTATGTTACTATAGTATTATTATTATTATTATTATTATTATTATTATTATTATTATTAT